CCCTTGCCGGTGCGGCGTCTCCCGCTAGGGGCAGACGCAGCGCCGACCCCGTAGAAACCAACAAGGTCGGCAGCAGCAGTAGAAGCAACAGAGGGCAAGAGGGGCGAGGGGGAACACCCCTCAAAGATGGGGCTGCGAGGGTCACCACGAGAGGCTCCTACAGCGACTATGCTTTTCTCTGCTGCTAGGAAGCGCTCCTCGAGGAGGTCAACGGTGAGTGTGGTGGGGCAAACTGAGAGGAAGTGGTCCCTGACTAAGCGAAGAGAGTCAGGGAGCCGGGTGACTATGTAGTAGAGGGTGATGTTCATGGGGGGGGGGTTCTTCGCGCAGAACTCGGCAGGAAGCGCAGCGCGGTAGCGAGTGTCACTAGTGCGGAGGTGTGTAATGAGGTCAGCGACTGTGGGAAAGGCAGCAAGGTCAGGGAAGAGGTACGGTAGCATGAGGCGGCTCAGTGCAGCAGTGGCAGGGGAAGAGTAGCGTGCAACTACAGCGTCGTACAAGGTCTGAGCACTCTTGTACTGGCTAAAGTGTGCACGCTCAGTGGTCGGTAAGTGGCGACGCACATCAAGACGGGCAGCACCATCGCGTGTCGCCCACTGTGAGCGAACACTGCTGTTAGCAGTAGCAGGCAGGGCAGGGGAGGCACCAGAGGTGAGGTCGAACAGAGAGAGGCCGTCTGCCCTATCGCACTGGAGGAACAGCTGGAGGTCCTCGACCCAGACCTCAAAGTCAACAGCACGACCCTTAGTGTCAAAGGTAAGAACACTGGGGGAAGCCATGACTGCAGAGGTCTAGCAAGGAGTGAGTTCACCAGTACGAGTAAGTAGGGCCGGGGCGAGCCGGTAGGACTGGGAGCAGCTCGACGGCAAGGCGGCTCGGCGGCTCAGCTGCTCGGCTGATGGGCGGCTCGGCTGCTAGGCGGCTCGGCGGTCGGGCGGCTCGGCTACTGGGCGGCTCGGCTCGGGCGGCTCGGCGGCTAGGCGGCTCGGCTACTGGGGGGCTTGGCGGCTCTGCTGCTGGGTGGCTCGGCGGCTCTGCTGCTGGGCGGCACGGCAGCTCTACTGCTGGGCGGCTCGGCGGCGCTGCTGCTGGGCTGCTCGGTAGAGGCGGCGTCGGGGCCGCTAGGGGCAGCGACGGGGCCGCTTAGGGAGGGGAGCGGCGACGGGGCCGTGTAGTGGCGGCGATAGGGCCGCGTAGGAGGCGGCGTCGGGGCCGCTTAGGGGCGGCGACGGGGCCGCTTAGGAGCGGTAGTGGGGCCGCTTAGGGGCAGCGACGGGGCCGCGTAGGGTGAGAGGCGGCGACGGGGCCGCTAGGGGCGGCGACGGGGCCTCTTAGGGGCGGCGACGGGGCCGCTAGGGGCGGCGACGGGGCCGCGTATGGGCGGCGACGGGGCCGCGTAGGGTGAGAGGCGGCGACGGGGCCGCTAGGGGCGGCGACGGGGCCGCTAAGGGCGGCGGCGGGGCCGCGGAGGGGCGGCGACGGGGGGCGGCTACGGGGCCGCGGAGGGGCGGCGACGGGGCCGCGTAGGGGCGGCGACGAGGCCGCGTAGGGTGAGAGGCGGCGACGGGGCCGCTAGGGGCGGCGACGGGGCCGCTAATTGTGGCGTCGGGGCCGCGTAGTGGCGGTAACGGGGCCGTGTGAGGGGCAGCGACGAGGCCGCTAGGGGCCACTAGGGGCCTGGAAAGGGCGGCGAAAGGCGCGCCTCGGGCAGGAGCGACTGGCGCTCCGGTCAGAAAGGATTTTTTCAGTGGTGGGCCCAAGGAAGCGTTCCCACAAGGGAACCTGCTCTATACCATGTGAAGAATGAGGAAATGAATGAACTAGCACAAGGTTGGGTACAAGTAGGAAACCCTAGTGAACTGTACCCCATAGTGTCTACCCCACTATAGCCTACACAAGCTATATAATATTAGTTTGACATCGTCGTCTCCCCATGCACCGCGTTGTGCTGACTCCTCATCCCATCTTGTCGCGATGCGCTCCTGATATAGCTTCTCTCTCTTCTCTCCCTTTGCTTTGTCTTCCTCCTCTTTGACGCTCAGCTCCTCTTGTGTCGGGGTGGTTCCACTCTCTATCAATAAGGGTGCGGTAAACATCGCGGGTGTAAGGTCGCGGGCTTCCCTCCTCGTCAAGAGTTCCGGTGTTTGCTTCCAGTACCAAGCGGAGAGTTTCTGATCAAGGCGTTGGGCGCTCCTTCTTCCTCTGGCCGAGATCCTCGTTCGCGGTCCCAAAAACGCGGTGAGTGGTAACAGCCAGCTCCTTCTCTATTATACCTTCAGGCTCTGCCTCGGCGCTTTCCGCCTCTTGAATTGCCGCATAGTCTCTCTCAACTTCCTCTGTGTAGCTTGCCGTGGGTGTGAAGCATGTCGTGCAGAGTCCGTCGGGCCCAGGTTGGTGCAGATTGATCTCACGAGGGTGAGGACTGCGGCGGATCCAGGTTGCCATGACTCCTCGTTCATGTAAGGAAAGTCCTGGGGAACGAGGTCCACAAGCTCGTATGAGGACGCTTGGTGGTCAGGTATGTCAAAGTCGAGCATGTAGACACCGCCAAGCGAGCGAGCTCTTCCAAGGTATTTGTGCAACTCGGCGGGTGTGTCTGGAGGAGCGTGGGTGAGGATGAGGTCGCGTGTGTAGGTATCCGTAGTGAGCATGACTTCGCAGTCAGAGGATTGTGCCGCGGACAGCAAGTTAAAGTGCAGGTCCGACACGTAGAGCACGTCATTGAACATGATGTCCGTGTTGTTGTCTCGAGCTTGCAGCACCACAATGCCTTGCGTATTTGCGCGCAGTTGCTCGTCTTTGGCGACGGTGACGTAGGTTGCGGGGGCGCGGATGGTGTTCGAGATGTATCGGGAAAATCCTACCATGTGCTGGCCGCAGCAACTGTCCAGGTACCAGGTGTTGTGGTTGGTATTGTTGTTGTGCAGGAGGAGGGCAAGCCGTGGTGTGACAAGCGTTGCCTTGTATCTTCTCTCAAAAAAATCATTTTATCTCCATCCCACTGGAACAAAACGCTAGTGATCGTGGGGCGGGCTTTCCCGCAGTTATATTGGCTAGTGCCAATCTTGCTCGTCCTCTTCGTCGTAATAGGAGTTCCCTATGAAGGAATTGTTCCACCCTTCTTCATGTTATATGAGCGCGCTGCGAGGTTCCTCCTCTTCGTCTGGTGAAGCAGCTCGTGGGCGGCGCCTTGCCGCCACGTTCAAGATCACGTTTCTGGTAGCTCCTGCTTGAGGTCCTTGTGTCTGTTGTTGTTGTGCAGGAGGGCGAGAAGCTTGATGTTGAGGCTGGAAATGACGAGCGTCTTGTCGCCCAACCCAGCTGTTATGGTGAGTGGAATTTGGGTGGCGATAGTTGGACCGGAAATCGCATCGGTCTATTGAATGTCCGAAGACTTTGCAGATTTTGTAATAATGGCGTCTTGGTTGTCGTCGCTCTTCACGATTGTTTGTGTAGAAGTCGAGGCGCTTTCGGCGCGGCGCGGAGCTTCTCTTCCTCGAATCCATGTCCTCCTGTTCAGTCAGGAGGGCGGCGCATAGCGCGTCTTCTGAGATGATTCCCCGTCGTCGGAGTAGCGCTTTGCAGGGCTTCCACTCGGGCCCGAGTCCTTAGAGGACGATGTTGACGAAGATCTCTTCCGAAATTGTGCTTCCATGCTCCGTGATCTTGTCACAAATGTTTTGACAGCGGTTAAAATATGTGTTCGCTTTCTCCCCGTGCCCCATCTTGGTCTCCATGAGTTGCTGCAGGAGCCTGCTGGAGGTGACTGAGTCCTTCGGCTGATATACCTCAACAAGGTCCTTCAAGGCTTCCAAGGCTGGAGCGGCGCTCTCATTGTAAGATCAAATGCCGAGTTGCTCCGCAGGCGTCATATTACGTAGCAGCACACTGTATGCCATAAGGGACTCGCTGTATTAATAAGCCCTGGCATCTTCGGTGTTTTCCACTGGTTTAGAGTAGGAGCTGTCGAAGTAGTGGTAGATCTGCGCTGTTTGTAGGAGGAGTTCTAGCTCAAAACTCCATGTATAGAAGTGTTTCCCGTCAAACTCCATGTATAGAAGTGTTTGATCTTGGTTCGGCGAATTTCACGGAAGTGGAGTTGCGAAGAATCCTTGAGTAGCTCTCATTACATGTGCAATCCCAGATGGGACTTGGCGAAGGATCGCCTCAGGGTTGATCGTAGGTAGTGTTGCAACGGAAGTGTTGACCTCAGGTAAGAGTGAATGTAAATGACTGAGATAATAATAGCATGCATCCATCGAGTTTATATAGGGAAATACCAAGAAATGCGAAAAGACCTGGACTAACCATGTACTATAAGGGGTACATTTCCTTATTACAGAAAATTCAAACAGCGCGGCGCGGGAACCCGTTTCAAATCTGTTCCAGCTCTTGTTATTTCATATAGTTTTTGCCTGCACCGGTCTTGGTCAGACGGTTGCTGGTGTCGCATCGACTCTTCTAACTCGTCGACTTCGTACTCGGTAAATTCGGCTCCTGCAGCATACAGGAATGCCTTCTCATTGAATTTCATATCGTAACAGGTACTGTGTGATGGGGGTACAGTACAGGCTATATTTCAGCCCAATTTTTTATTAGAAAGTTTCACTTTCAAAAGTTGATTAGATGAGCATTCAAATGATGATCCGAAATCAGAGTTATAGGTGGGACTCGCGTAACGTGTTTCTTCGCGAAACCAAATTTCGTAACCGACACCGATATGGAAACCAGAATCTAAAACTGACTTTGTTGAACTCCACAGAATACGGCCTTGCAGGATTGGGAAGAACTCTGGCTGTGGAGTCTTCTCTCAGGGCGTGTCTGGAAAGTACTGGCGAATACGGTTGAATAAGGCCGAATACCATCTCTCTGCTACCTCCTCCCACTGTCCTGACACATTTTCCACCTTGTATCTCCCACGTAATCGCCCATGGTGTTCCGTTTTGTCGTTTTCACGATCTAGAGTTGGTGCAGCTGCGAGCCACTTCTAACACCTTAATATGGCCACTTTCCACGTTGGCTGTCCGCTCACGCTGTAAGGCGCCTCCTGTTATGGCGCCAAGCACCACCCAACCCTATTATCAAGGAATTGAAGCACTTGATCCTAGTGTGACTCGTTAATATGGCTAGTCGTTATTGTGTCTTCAGTATTCCTGTTGCTCAGTCGTCTAGGTTTTCGTGTGCGCAATCCTATTTCCTATTTTACTCCTTATCGGCGTTGAAAAAAATCCACAGAAAACCGTTTCGAACCTTGACGTATTCCGCGCAACTCCTACAACTTTCTATGAGCCCTTCTGACGTAGTTTCCACGCGCCACGACTTCCGTTTTTAACGCACACGCTCCCGCTTCCCTGTGTTCCAATTCCTAACTCCCCTCCGCAGGAGGCCCATATGTCGCTGCTCTCTCGGGTCTGTCGGACCACTGGCTGCCTGCCACGTGGACGCGCAGACGGCTGTGTTGGCGTGGTCCCTGTGGGAGCGCGGGAAGCTTGGGGTGGCGGGGGGGACGAGGACGGGGGGAGGGGGGGGGGACGGCGGAAGGGGATGCGGAAGAGGGTGCTGCTGCTGTAACGGACGCTGCTGTGTCGAATGATGCTATAACGGATGATGCTGTAACGAGCGGGTTGCTGTACAATGGAATGGTGACGATCGACGTTCCAGCGTTTGAGAGCGAGGATGATTGGGACGGTGAGAGCGAGGATGATTGGGACGGTGAAAGCTAGGATGCTTGGGACGGTGAGACTCTCGAGAGCGCGCGTGGGATTTGAAAGAATGTGGCTGGCAATGAGGACAGTGAAGAACAGCCAAGTGCAATTGCCTGCCTTCTTCCTATTCCCCTCCCGTTGCCTCTTCTAGGCTCTTCTTCCCCACCCATCCCTCGTCCTCACCTCTCCCCTCGTCCCCACCCTGATCCCCACCTCTCCCGTGGACCCCACCTCTCATCTTATCCCCACCTCTCCCCTCATCCCAACGTCTCCCGGCATTCCCGGCTGTCCCCTCCATGCAGACGGCGGGGTGATCGATCAACCATTCCTGCAAGCCACACAAGCTCCTGCCGCTGGTTACCACGCGACTGGTTACACGCCTGGCTTGGAGTGGGGCAGTGGGGGGGAGGCAGTGTGGGGGCACTCTGCCTTCGGTGGCCAGGTGCGTGCGTGTGACACACAGTGCGTGCGTGTGACACACAGTGCGTGCGTGTGACACACAGTGCGTGCGTGTGACACACAGTGCGTGCGTGTGACACACAGTGAGTGCGTGTGTCCCCCCCCATCATTTACCAACCCTTTTCCAGTGCAGCCCCACCTTTCTCCCATCTCGCCCCGTCGCTCTCCCTGCCAAACACCCCCCCCTCTTCCTCCCTCTCCCCCAACTCCCCTCACGTTCCCATGATTCCGTGTTCGCCCTGGCCTGCTGCCCATGGCCACATGTCAGTGTCGTCTCATCGAACGCTGTCCGGCCCCGGGGTCCTCAACGTGCTCTCTTGCCCTTGCTCTGCTCAGGCACCCGTTGAACCTCACCCTCTAGGCTCTGCACCACACCACGTATGTATGTACAGAGAGTTTTATGACCGATCATAAACTATACTCCCATGATCCCAGGAGCTGGATTATGCTAAAGCTCCTTTGAAAAGTCTCAGTCACGTGCTCCCTTGCCTTTTCTGATGCTCACTCACGTGATTCCAGGGGCTGGATCACCCACACGGACTCCTTCACTCTGCAGTAGCAGCGGCAGGGGACGCCATTCCCAAGCCTAGAATCCCGGGCCCCAGGCGTCCTCCCAAGCCTAAGATGTCGGCTCGGGCCAAGGCTCTCGCGGCGAGCAAGAAGGGCAAAGCAGGGGCGGCAGCAAAGGCAGCGAGGGCACATGCAGCGGCCACGGCTGCTGCTCTTGCTGCCGGGCTGCCCCCCCCGCCGCTGCCTGCTGTGGTCGTTGCTGCTCTTGCTGCTGCTGCCAATAGCTCTGACCCCTTGCCTCCGTTTCTCGCTGTTGCAGCTGCGGCTGTTGCTGCTGCTGATGCGGCAGCAGCTAAAGCTGCAGGGAAGACTGTTGGTTCGGCTCGTGATCCTTCGGGGGCCGCTGCTGCTGTCCCTGCTCGTGTCGCTGCTGCCGTTGGTGGCGCTGCTGGTGCAGCCGGTGCAGCTGGTGCTGCTAGTGCCCATGCGGCTGGGTCATCTGATTCAGAGCCTGTGCGCTCTCCTTCCTCCAAAGCTGCTCAACCAGTACCCCACCTCGCACCTGCCGCCCCCCCCTTGCCTTCCACGCCCGTCAAGCATGCTACAGCCGCTGCTACAGCTGTAGCGACAGCACCTTCCCCTGGCCCATCCGCCAGTGCGGCTGTTGCAGCAGCAGGGTTGGAATGTGACGGTGCTGCCCGTCCTTCACCTGCTGCTGCTGCCACTGCTGCTGATACTGCTGCTGCTGATGATACCGCTGCAGGGGCTACGTCTGAATCGGTGAAGGAGAGGAGGCGCACGATCAAGATCAAAGGAGGCGCTCAGCGGAAGGTTCTCGTGTTGGTTTCACCCGAAAAACCACCTGAAGTGCCTGCGGCGCAAGCAGAGTCAGCTGCAGTGCGGAGTGACTCAGTTACAGTGCAGAGTGAATCGACTACAGTGCCTCTGGGGAGTGAAACGGCACCGCGAAAGCCAAAGAGAGTTATTATAATCTCACGCAAAAAAAAAGGTGCTGCTGGTGCTATTGTAACGGATAGTTCCGGTGCTGCTGCTGGCGCTGCTGCTGGTGCTAGTGATACTGGTGATGGTGCCGGTGCTGGTGGTGGTGGTGGTGCTGCTGGTACCGCTGGTGGTGGTGGTGGTGGTGGTGGTGGTGGTGGTGGTGGTGGTGGTGGTGGTGGTGGTGGTGGTGGTGGTGGTGGTGGTGGTGGTGGTGGTGGTGGTGGTGGTGGTGGTGGTGGCGGTGGTGGTGGTGGTGGTGGTGGTGGTGGTAGCATTGTCCGTGCCGGCCACAAGGCAGTGCGTGGGGAGGGGCAGCCCAGCAGGGCAATGGCGGCGAGCGGGGCGCATGAAGGCCATGGAGAGGGTGGTGCTGGTGGGGAGGATGATGGGGGAGCAGGTGCTGTGGGTGGGCCAGGAGAGAAGGTCGGAGTGAAGGTGAAGTTAAAGCGTAGAGTGAAAGTGAAGCTTCCTGAAGGGAAGAAGGTAGTAGGTGTGAGTGAAGGTGGGCATGGCGAGAAGGGAATGGATGGTGAAGCTGCGATAAGACGGACGGGAGGGCAGGCAGGAGGGGAAGAGGATGGAGGGGAGCGGAAGGAGGGAGAAAAGAAAGAAAAGGAAGGGGATAGAAAGGAGGGAGGAAACAAAGAAACTAAAGCGGAAGGAGGCGAGAGTGGGAAGGGGGACAAGAGGAAAGAGAGAGGGGAGGGAGGGTTGGCAGGGGGTAAGGCGGAGGAAGCAAATAAACGGGAGAGGGAGGAGAAGGTGAAGGGTCCGAGGAGAGAGGAGGGGGAAGAGGAGGGGGGAGAGGGAGGGAGAGGAGGAAAGAGCGAGAAAAAGGGAGAGGATGAGAAGGGAAGCAGGCAGGCAGAGGGAGAAAGACGGGGGCTAGTGAAAGCTGTAGGTGCAAAGAGGGGGAGACCTGTTGGTGGGTCCAAGGCTGCTGCCGCTGCACTCGCCGCCGCCGCTGCTGCCGCTGCTGCTGTAGCAGCAGGGGCCGCCAGTAACACTGATGCTGCTGTAGCAGCAGGGGCCGCCAGTAACACTGATGCTGCTGTAGCAGCAGGGGCCGCCAGTAACACTGATGCTGCTGTAGCAGCAGGGGCCGCCAGTAACACTGATGCTGCTGTAGCAGCAGGGGCCGCCAGTAACACTGATGCTTCTGTAGCAGCAGGGGCCGCCAGTAACACTGATGCTGCTGTAGCAGCAGGGGCCGCCAGTAACACTGATGCTGCTGGTTGTGGTGCTGCTGTTGGTGGTGCTGAGGGTGTTGCTGTGCCTTCTGGAGGGGTTGATGCTGGGAAGGTTGCACCTGATGAGACGCTGACAGCAGCACGCAAGGACAAGGCGCGTCTGGCTGCTGGGGAGGGGCGAGAAACAGTTGGAAGGGGTGACAACGACGGAGAGAAGGGCAGAGGAAAGAATAGTGCAGAGAATGTTGGAGAAGTGAAGGATGGAGGAAAAGAGTCCGGGGAGGCAGAGGATGGGGAGACCGCTAAGGGGGGAGAGAGGCCAGGGGGAGATAGGGTGGGAGGAGGGGGAAGGGAGGATGGGGTTGGTGAGAGAGAGAGGGAACGTCATAAGGAGGGGAAAAGGAGGAAGAAACGTGAGCGGGAGAGAGGTGAGTTGGTGGGGAAGAGAGGGGAGAGAGTGAGAGCGGGAGAGGGGGAGCAGACGGATGGAAAGCATAGTGCTGTGGCAGAGAGGCATGTGGCAGAGAGGCATGTGGCTGAAGGCGACGAGGAGGGCGCGAGGGAAGAGGGGGCAGTGGGTGCAGTGGTGAGCGAGGGAGTAGATGCAGGAGGAGAGGGCTCTCAGGGGGAGACGGGTGAGATGGCGAGGGCGAGTAAGATGGAGGGGAGGCGACATGGGGGCAGGGAGAGGAAGAGGAGTGGTGAGGAGGTGGCGAGGAGGGAAAGGAGAGAGGGTGGGAGGGGTGACGATCTGGAAGTGCAGGTGACAGAAGAGAAGAGAGGGAGAGAGAAGCGACATGAGGAGAAGGGGAGAGAGAAGAGGGGAAGAGAAGATGGTGTTGTGAGGAGGGGAGAAAAGGATGAGAGAAAGAGGCGCGGGGATGATTGGGAGGAGGATGCAAGGGAGGAGGAGGGTAAGGAGGACGATGAGGAGCGCAGAAAAGGAGAGGGGGCAGAAAGGATGTCAGCCAGAGCGAGAGCAATGAGAGTGCAGGAGACGGCTGGAGAGGAGGGGATGAAGCGGGTGGGTGGTGATGAGACAGGCCGATATGAGCATGAGGAGGAGGGAGAGAGAGGGGACACGGAAAGGGGAGCAGGGATTTTAAGAGAGGACAAGGAGAGAGGGGAGAGAGGGAGAAGAGGGAGGAAGGGGAGGGAGGCGAGTGAGGGTGGGGAGGGGAGTGTGTGGTGCGGGCTGTGTGGGGGAGAGGAGGAGCAGGGCAGTGCAAAAGCTGCTCGCCTGGTGCCGTGCCCGCAGTGTGGTCGCAGCTTCCACCGCCACTGCCTGCTGGGGATGGCTGACAACAGAGGTATGTCTGTGTGCTCTGTGCCTGCTGTGTGCCTGCTGTGTGCCTGCTGTGTGCCTGCTGTGTGCCTGCTGTGTGCCTGCTGTGTGCCTGCTGTGTGCCTGTTGTGTGCCTGTTGTGTGCCTGTTGTGTGCCTGTTGTGTGCCTGCTGGGTACGGCTAGTGGTATGCAGTGCATGTGTGGCTCTCACGTCATGCCCTGTGCTGCTCGCCACTCGCTTGCTGTCGTGCTCCCAGTGCCGCCGCAGCTTTCGCTGCCACTGCCTCTTGGCCATGGTTCGCAACAGAGGTACTTCGTCTGTGTGCTGTGGGGTGGGTTTGGGTTTCGGGTGGGGCGGGGTGCGCGCGTCACTGTGCATGGTGTGTGCTGCTGATTTCCTTTCTTGCTCTTCTTCAATTCGCCTCCCTTGCCCCTTGTTCCACCCATTGACCCGCATCCCCCCTCCCGTTGCCCCACACCCTCCACCCCCCTCGGTTGCCCCACATGCCCTCCCATCCACTTCCGCCTGTGCCCCACATCCCCTCTTGCCCATACTCACCCATCAGGGCCCCCCTCACATCCTCCTCTCCCCCCCCCCCCCCCCCCCCCCCCCCCCCCCCCCTCCCAATGCCCTCTCCGCACTGCCTTGCTGTGCGTGCGCAGGCAAGCTGGACTGGCGGGACTGGGTGTGCCCGGGGTGCATTCGCTGTGAGGTGAGCCGCGGCATGGGGGATGGAGCATGGGGGTGGGTGGGTGGGGCATGGGGTGGGGGGGAGGTGGGGGGGTGCGATATGATGCCATCTGATGCCATGGGCTGTCATTTCACATGCCCCCAGGGCCCCAGCAGTCCCCTCCCCAGAGGCGCTCGTCTCTTGAGTCAACTCAAGCAAACCTTGGTCCTTTCTCTCGTGTGCCCTTGCTCATTTCTCTCGTGTGCCCTTGCTCCTTTCTCTCGTTTGCCCTTGCTCCTTTCTCTCGTGTGCCCTTGCTCCTTTCTCTCGTGTGCCCTTGCTCCTTTCTCTCGTGTGCCCTTGCTCCTTTCTCTCGTGTGCCCTTGCTCCTTTCTCTCGTGTGCCCTTGCTCCTTTCTCTCGTGTGCCCTTGCTCCTTTCTCTCGTGTGCCCTTGCTCCTTTCTCTCGTGTGCCCTTGCTCCTTTCTCTCGTGTGCCCTTCCTCCTTTCTCTCGTGTGCCCTTGCTCATTTCTCTCGTGTGCCCTTGCTCCTTTCTCTCGTGTGCCCTTGCTCCTTTCTCTCGTGTGCCCTTGCTCCTTTCTCTCGTGTGCCCTTGCTCCTTTCTCTCGTGTGCCCTTGCTCCTTTCTCTCGTGTGCCCTTGCTCATTTCTCTCGTGTGCCCTTGCTCCTTTCTCTCGTGTGCCCTTGCTCCTTTCTCTCGTGTGCCCTTGCTCCTTTCTCTCGTGTGCCCTTGCTCCTTTCTCTCGTGTGCCCTTGCTCATTTCTCTCGTGTGCCCTTGCTCCTTTCTCTCGGGTGCCCTTGCTCCTTTCTCTCGTGTGCCCTTGCTCCTTTCTCTCGTGTGCCCTTGCTCCTTTCTCTCGTGTGCCCTTGCTCCTTTCTCTCGTGTGCCCTTGCTCCTTTCTCCTTTCTCTTGTGTGCCCTTGCTCCTTTCTCTCGTGTGCCCTTGCTCCTTTCTCTCGTGTGCCCTTGCTCATTTCTCTCGTGTGCCCTTGCTCCTTTCTCTCGTGTGCCCTTGCTCCTTTCTCTCGTGTGCCCTTGCTCCTTTCTTTCGTGTGCCCTTGCTCCTTTCTCTCGTGTGCCCTTGCTCCTTTCTCTCGTGTGCCCTTGCTCCTTTCTCTCGTGTGCCCTTGCTCCTTTCTCTCGTGTGCCCTTGCTCCTTTCTCTCGTGCGCCCTTGCTCATTTCTCTCGTGTGCCCTTGCTCCTCCTCTCTCTCGTGTGCCCTTGCTCCTTTCTCTCGTGTGCCCTTGCTCCTTTCTCTCGTGTGCCCTTGCTCCTTTCTCTCGTGTGCCCTTGCTCCTTTCTCTCCTGTGCCCTTGCTCCTTTCTCCTTTCTCTTGTGTGCCCTTGCTCCTTTCTCTCGTGTGCCCTTGCTCCTTTCTCTCGTGTGCCCTTGCTCCTTTCTCTCGTGTGCCCTTTCTCATTTCTCTCGTGTGCCCTTGCTCCTTTCTCTCGTGTGCCCTTGCTCCTTTCTCTCGTGTGCCCTTGCTCCTTTCTCTCGTGTGCCCTTGCTCCTTTCTCTCGTGTGCCCTTGCTCCTTTCTCTCGTGTGCCCTTGCTCCTTTCTCTCGTGTGCCCTTGCTCCTTTCTCTCGTGTGCCCTTGCTCCTTTCTCTCGTGTGCCCTTGCTCCTTTCTCTCGTGTGCCCTTGCTCCTTTCTCTCGTGTGCCCTTGCTCCTTTCTCTCGTATGCCCTTGCTCATTTCTCTCGTGTGCCCTTGCTCCTTTCTCTCGTGTGCTCTTGCTCCTTTCTCTCGTGTGCCCTTGCTCCTTTCTCTCGTGTGCCCTTGCTCCTTTCTCTCGTGTGCCCTTGCTCCTTTCTCTCGTGTGCCCTTGCTCTTTTCTCTCGTGTGCCCTTGCTCCTTTCTCTCGTGTGCCCTTGCTCCTTTCTCTCGTGTGCCCTTGCTCCTTTCTCTCGTGTGCCCTTGCTCCTTTCTCTCGTGTGCCCTTGCTCCTTTCTCTCGTGTGCCCTTGCTCCTTTCTCTCGTGTGCCCTTGCTCCTTTCTCTCGTGTGCCCTTGCTCCTTTCTCTCGTGTGCCCTTCCTCCTTTCTCTCGTGTGCCCTTGCTCATTTCTCTCGTGTGCCCTTGCTCCTTTCTCTCGTGTGCCCTTGCTCCTTTCTCTCGTGTGCCCTTGCTCCTTTCTCTCGTGTGCCCTTGCTCCTTTCTCTCGTGTGCCCTTGCTCCTTTCTCTCGTGTGCCCTTGCTCATTTCTCTCGTGTGCCCTTGCTCCTTTCTCTCGTGTGCCCTTGCTCCTTTCTCTCGTGTGCCCTTGCTCCTTTCTCTCGTGTGCCCTTGCTCCTTTCTCTCGTGTGCCCTTGCTCATTTCTCTCGTGTGCCCTTGCTCCTTTCTCTCGGGTGCCCTTGCTCCTTTCTCTCGTGTGCCCTTGCTCCTTTCTCTCGTGTGCCCTTGCTCCTTTCTCTCGTGTGCCCTTGCTCCTTTCTCTCGTGTGCCCTTGCTCCTTTCTCCTTTCTCTTGTGTGCCCTTGCTCCTTTCTCTCGTGTGCCCTTGCTCCTTTCTCTCGTGTGCCCTTGCTCATTTCTCTCGTGTGCCCTTGCTCCTTTCTCTCGTGTGCCCTTGCTCCTTTCTCTCGTGTGCCCTTGCTCCTTTCTCTCGTGTGCCCTTGCTCCTTTCTCTCGTGTGCCCTTGCTCATTTCTCTCGTGTGCCCTTGCTCCTTTCTCTCGGGTGCCCTTGCTCCTTTCTCTAGTGTGCCCTTGCTCCTTTCTCTCGTGTGCCCTTGCTCCTTTCTCTCGTGTGCCCTTGCTCCTTTCTCTCGTGTGCCCTTGCTCCTTGCTCCTTTCTCTCGTGTGCCCTTGCTCCTTTCTCTCGTGTGCCCTTGCTCCTTTCTCTCGTGTGCCCTTGCTCCTTTCTCTCGTGTGCCCTTGCTCCTTTCTCTCGTGTGCCCTTGCTCCTTTCTCTCGTGTGCCCTTGCTCATTTCTCTCGTGTGCCCTTGCTCCTTTCTCTCGTGTGCCCTTGCTCCTGTCTCTCGTGTGCCCTTGCTCCTTTCTTTCGTGTTCCCTTGCTCCTTTCTCTCGTGTGCCCTTGCTCCTTTCTCTCGTGTGCCCTTGCTCCTTTCTCTCGTGTGCCCTTGCTCCTTTCTCTCGTGTGCCCTTGCTCCTTTCTCTCGTGTGCCCTTGCTCCTTTCTCTCGTGTGCCCTTGCTCCTTTCTCTCGTGTGCCCTTGCTCCTTTCTCTCGTGTGCCCTTGCTCCTTTCTCTCGTGTGCCCTTGCTCCTTTCTCTCGTGTGCCCTTGCTCCTTTCTCTCGTGTGCCCTTGCTCCTTTCTCTCGTGTGCCCTTCCTCCTTTCTCTCGTGTGCCCTTGCTCATTTCTCTCGTGTGCCCTTGCTCCTTTCTCTCGTGTGCCCTTGCTCCTTTCTCTCGTGTGCCCTTGCTCCTTTCTCTCGTGTGCCCTTGCTCCTTTCTCTCGTGTGCCCTTGCTCCTTTCTCTCGTGTGCCCTTGCTCATTTCTCTCGTGTGCCCTTGCTCCTTTCTCTCGTGTGCCCTTGCTCCTTTCTCTCGTGTGCCCTTGCTCCTTTCTCTCGTGTGCCCTTGCTCCTTTCTCTCGTGTGCCCTTGCTCATTTCTCTCGTGTGCCCTTGCTCCTTTCTCTCGGGTGCCCTTGCTCCTTTCTCTCGTGTGCCCTTGCTCCTTTCTCTCGTGTGCCCTTGCTCCTTTCTCTCGTGTGCCCTTGCTCCTTTCTCTCGTGTGCCCTTGCTCCTTTCTCCTTTCTCTTGTGTGCCCTTGCTCCTTTCTCTCGTGTGCCCTTGCTCCTTTCTCTCGTGTGCCCTTGCTCATTTCTCTCGTGTGCCCTTGCTCCTTTCTCTCGTGTGCCCTTGCTCCTTTCTCTCGTGTGCCCTTGCTCCTTTCTTTCGTGTGCCCTTGCTCCTTTCTCTCGTGTGCCCTTGCTCCTTTCTCTCGTGTGCCCTTGCTCCTTTCTCTCGTGTGCCCTTGCTCCTTTCTCTCGTGTGCCCTTGCTCCTTTCTCTCGTGCGCCCTTGCTCATTTCTCTCGTGTGCCCTTGCTCCTCCTCTCTCTCGTGTGCCCTTGCTCCTTTCTCTCGTGTGCCCTTGCTCCTTTCTCTCGTGTGCCCTTGCTCCTTTCTCTCGTGTGCCCTTGCTCCTTTCTCTCCTGTGCCCTTGCTCCTTTCTCCTTTCTCTTGTGTGCCCTTGCTCCTTTCTCTCGTGTGCCCTTGCTCCTTTCTCTCGTGTGCCCTTGCTCCTTTCTCTCGTGTGCCCTTTCTCATTTCTCTCGTGTGCCCTTGCTCCTTTCTCTCGTGTGCCCTTGCTCCTTTCTCTCGTGTGCCCTTGCTCCTTTCTCTCGTGTGCCCTTGCTCCTTTCTCTCGTGTGCCCTTGCTCCTTTCTCTCGTGTGCCCTTGCTCCTTTCTCTCGTGTGCCCTTGCTCCTTTCTCTCGTGTGCCCTTGCTCCTTTCTCTCGTGTGCCCTTGCTCCTTTCTCTCGTGTGCCCTTGCTCCTTTCTCTCGTGTGCCCTTGCTCCTTTCTCTCGTATGCCCTTGCTCATTTCTCTCGTGTGCCCTTGCTCCTTTCTCTCGTGTGCTCTTGCTCCTTTCTCTCGTGTGCCCTTGCTCCTTTCTCTCGTGTGCCCTTGCTCCTTTCTCTCGTGTGCCCTTGCTCCTTTCTCTCGTGTGCCCTTGCTCTTTTCTCTCGTGTGCCCTTGCTCCTTTCTCTCGTGTGCCCTTGCTCCTTTCTCTCGTGTGCCCTTGCTCCTTTCTCTCGTGTGCCCTTGCTCCTTTCTCTCGGGTGCCCTTGCTCCTTTCTCTCGTGTGCCCTTGCTCCTTTCTCTCGTGTGCCCTTGCTCCTTTCTCTCGTGTGCCCTTGCTCCTTTCTCTCGTGTGCCCTTGCTCCTTTCTCCTTTCTCTTGTGTGCCCTTGCTCCTTTCTCTCGTGTGCCCTTGCTCCTTTCTCTCGTGTGCCCTTGCTCATTTCTCTCGTGTGCCCTTGCTCCTTTCTCTCGTGTGCCCTTGCTCCTTTCTCTCGTGTGCCCTTGCTCCTTTCTTTCGTGTGCCCTTGCTCCTTTCTCTCGTGTGCCCTTGCTCCTTTCTCTCGTGTGCCCTTGCTCCTTTCTCTCGTGTGCCCTTGCTCCTTTCTCTCGTGTGCCCTTGCTCCTTTCTCTCGTGCGCCCTTGCTCATTTCTCTCGTGTGCCCTTGCTCCTCCTCTCTCTCGTGTGCCCTTGCTCCTTTCTCTCGTGTGCCCTTGCTCCTTTCTCTCGTGTGCCCTTGCTCCTTTCTCTCGTGTGCCCTTGCTCCTTTCTCTCCTGTGCCCTTGCTCCTTTCTCCTTTCTCTTGTGTGCCCTTGCTCCTTTCTCTCGTGTGCCCTTGCTCCTTTCTCTCGTGTGCCCTTGCTCCTTTCTCTCGTGTGCCCTTTCTCATTTCTCTCGTGTGCCCTTGCTCCTTTCTCTCGTGTGCCCTTGCTCCTTTCTCTCGTGTGCCCTTGCTCCTTTCTCTCGTGTGCCCTTGCTCCTTTCTCTCGTGTGCCCTTGCTCCTTTCTCTCGTGTGCCCTTGCTCCTTTCTCTCGTGTGCCCTTGCTCCTTTCTCTCGTGTGCCCTTGCTCCTTTCTCTCGTGTGCCCTTGCTCCTTTCTCTCGTGTGCCCTTGCTCCTTTCTCTCGTGTGCCCTTGCTCCTTTCTCTCGTATGCCCTTGCTCATTTCTCTCGTGTGCCCTTGCTCCTTTCTCTCGTGTGCTCTTGCTCCTTTCTCTCGTGTGCCCTTGCTCCTTTCTCTCGTGTGCCCTTGCTCCTTTCTCTCGTGTGCCCTTGCTCCTTTCTCTCGTGTGCCCTTGCTCTTTCTCTCGTGTGCCCTTGCTCCTTTCTCTCGTGTGCCCTTGCTCCTTTCTCTCGTGTGCCCTTGCTCCTTTCTCTCGTGTGCCCTTGCTCCTTTCTCTCGTGTGCCCTTGCTCCTTTCTCTCGTGTGCCCTTGCTCCTTTCTCTCGTGTGCCCTTGCTCCTTTCTCTCGTGTGCCCTTGCTCCTTTCTCTCGTGTGCCCTTGCTCCTTTCTCTCGTGTGCCCTTGCTCCTTTCTCTCGTGTGCCCTTGCTCCTTTCTCTCGTGTGCCCTTGCTCCTTTCTCTCGTGTGCCCTTGCTCATTTCTCTCGTGTGCCCTTGCTCCTTTCTCTCGTTTGCCCTTGCTCCTTTCTCTCGTTTGCCCTTGCTCCTTTCTCTCGTGTGCCCTTGCTCATTTCTCTCGTGTGCCCTTGCTCCTTTCTCTCGTGTGCCCTTGCTCCTTTCTCTCGTGTGCCCTTGCTCCTTTCTCTCGTGTGCCCTTGCTCCTTTCTCTCGTGTGCCCTTGCTCATTTCTCTCGTGTGCCCTTGCTCCTTTCTCTCGGGTGCCCTTGCTCCTTTCTCTCGTGTGCCCTTGCTCCTTTCTCTCGTGTGCCCTTGCTCCTTTCTCTCGTTTGCCCTTGCTCCTTTCTCTCGTGTGCCCTTGCTCCTTTCTCTCGTGTGCCCTTGCTCCTTTCTCTCGTGTGCCCTTGCTCCTTTCTCTCGTGTGCCCTTGCTCCTTTCTCTCGTGTGCCCTTGCTCCTTTCTCTCGTGTGCCCTTGCTCCTTTCTCTCGTGTGCCCTTGCTCATTTCTCTCGTGTGCCCTTGCTCCTTTCTCTCGTGTGCCCTTGCTCCTTTCTCTCGTGTGCCCTTGCTCCTTTCTCTCGTGTGCCCTTGCTCCTTTCTCTCGTGTGCCCTTGCTCATTTCTCTCGTGTGCCCTTGCTCCTTTCTCTCGGGTGCCCTTGCTCCTTTCTCTCGTGTGCCCTTGCTCCTTTCTCTCGTGTGCCCTTGCTCCTTTCTCTCGTGTGCCCTTGCTCCTTTCTCTCGTGTGCCCTTGCTCCTTTCTCCTTTCTCTTGTGTGCCCTTGCTCCTTTCTCTCGTGTGCCCTTGCTCCTTTCTCTCGTGTGCCCTTGCTCATTTCTCTCGTGTGCCCTTGCTCCTTTCTCTCGTGTGCCCTTGCTCCTTTCTCTCGTGTGCCCTTGCTCCTTTCTCTCGTGTGCCCTTGCTCCTTTCTCTCGTGTGCCCTTGCTCATTTCTCTCGTGTGCCCTTGCTCCTTTCTCTCGGGTGCCCTTGCTCCTTTCTCTCGTGTGCCCTTGCTCCTTTCTCTCGTGTGCCCTTGCTCCTTTCTCTCGTGTGCCCTTGCTCCTTTCTCTCGTGTGCCCTTGCTCCTTGCTCCTTTCTCTCGTGTGCCCTTGCTCCTTTCTCTCGTGTGCCCTTGCTCCTTTCTCTCGTGTGCCCTTGCTCCTTTCTCTCGTGTGCCCTTGCTCCTTTCTCTCGTGTGCCCTTGCTCCTTTCTCTCGTGTGCCCTTGCTCATTTCTCTCGTGTGCCCTTGCTCCTTTCTCTCGTGTGCCCTTGCTCCTTTCTCTCGTGTGCCCTTGCTCCTTTCTCTCGTGTTCCCTTGCTCCTTTCTCTCGTGTGCCCTTGCTCCTTTCTCTCGTGTGCCCTTGCTCCTTTCTCTCGTGTGCCCTTGCTCCTTTCTCTCGTGTGCCCTTGCTCATTTCTCTCGTGTGCCCTTGCTCCTTTCTCTCGTGTGCCCTTGCTCCTTTCTCTCGTGTGCCCTTGCTCCTTTCTCTCGTGTGCCCTTGCTCCTTTCTCTCGTGTGCCCTTGCTCCTTTCTCTTGTGTGCCCTTGCTCTTTTCTCTCGTGTGCCCTTGCTCCTTTCTCTCGTGTGCCCTTGCTCCTTTCTCTCGTGTGCCCTTGCTCCTTTCTCTCGTGTGCCCTTGCTCCTTTCTCTCGTGTGCCCTTGCTCCTTTCTCTCGTGTGCCCTTGCTCCTTTCTCTCGTGCGCCCTTGCTCATTTCTCTCGTGTGCCGTTGCTCCTCCTCTCTCTCGTGTGCCCTTGCTCCTTTCTCTCGTGTGCCCTTGCTCCTTTCTCTCATGTGCCCTTGCTCCTTTCTCTCGTGTGCCCTTGCTCCTTTCTCTCGTGTGCCCTTGCTCCTTTCTCCTTTCTCTTGTGTGCCCTTGCTCCTTTCTCTCGTGTGCCCTTGCTCATTTCTCTCGTGTGCCCTTGCTCCTTTCTCTCGTGTGCCCTTGCTCCTTTCTCTCGTGTGCCCTTGCTCCTTTCTCTCGTGTGCCCTTGCTCCTTTCTCTCGTGTGCCCTTGCTCATTTCTCTCGTGTGCCCTTGCTCCTTTCTCTCGTGTGCCCTTGCTCCTTTCTCTCGTGTGCCCTTGCTCCTTTCTCTCGTGTGCCCTTGCTCATTTCTCTCGTGTGCCCTTGCTCCTTTCTCTCGGGTGCCCTTGCTCCTTTCTCTCGTGTGCCCTTGCTCCTTTCTCTCGTGTGCCCTTGCTCCTTTCTCTCGTGTGCCCTTGCTCCTTTCTCTCGTGTGCCCTTGCTCCTTTCTCCTTTCTCTTGTGTGCCCTTGCTCCTTTCTCTCGTGTGCCCTTGCTCCTTTCTCTCGTGTGCCCTTGCTCATTTCTCTCGTGTGCCCTTGCTCCTTTCTCTCGTGTGCCCATGCTCCTTTCTCTCGTGTGCCCTTGCTCCTTTCTCTCGTGTGCCCTTGCTCCTTTCTCTCGTGTGCCCTTGCTCATTTCTCTCGTGTGCCCTTGCTCCTTTCTCTCGGGTGCCCTTGCTCCTTTCTCTCGTGTGCCCTTGCTCCTTTCTCTCGTGTGCCCTTGCTCCTTTCTCTCGTGTGCCCTTGCTCCTTTCTCTCGTGTGCCCTTGCTCCTTGCTCCTTTCTCTCGTGTGCCCTTGCTCCTTTCTCTCGTGTGCCCTTGCTCCTTTCTCTCGTGTGCCCTTGCTCCTTTCTCTCGTGTGCCCTTGCTCCTTTCTCTCGTGTGCCCTTGCTCCTTTCTCTCGGGTGCCCTTGCTCCTTTCTCTCGTGTGCCCTTGCTCCTTTCTCTCGTGTGCCCTTGCTCCTTTCTCTCGTGTGCCCTTGCTCCTTTCTCTCGTGTGCCCTTGCTCCTTTCTCCTTTCTCTTGTGTGCCCTTGCTCCTTTCTCTCGTGTGCCCTTGCTCCTTTCTCTCGTGTGCCCTTGCTCCTTTCTCTCGTTTGCCCTTGCTCATTTCTCTCGTGTGCCCTTGCTCCTTTCTCTCGTTTGCCCTTGCTCCTTTCTCTCGTGTGCCCTTGCTCATTTCTCTCGTGTGCCCTTGCTCCTTTCTCTCGTGTGCCCTTGCTCCTTTCTCTCGTGTTCCCTTGCTCCTTTCTCTCGTGTGCCCTTGCTCCTTTCTCTCGTGTGCCCTTGCTCCTTTCTCTCGTGTGCCCTTGCTCCTTTCTCTCGTGTGCCCTTGCTCATTTCTCTCGTGTGCCCTTGCTCCTTTCTCTCGTGTGCCCTTGCTCCTTTCTCTCGTGTGCCCTTGCTCCTTTCTCTCGTGTGCCCTTGCTCCTTTCTCTCGTGTGCCCTTGCTCCTTTCTCTTGTGTGCCCTTGCTCTTTTCTCTCGTGTGCCCTTGCTCCTTTCTCTCGTGTGCCCTTGCTCCTTTCTCTCGTGTGCCCTTGCTCCTTTCTCTCGTGTGCCCTTGCTCCTTTCTCTCGTGTGCCCTTGCTCCTTTCTCTCGTGTGCCCTTGCTCCTTTCTCTCGTGCGCCCTTGCTCATTTCTCTCGTGTGCCGTTGCTCCTCCTCTCTCTCGTGTGCCCTTGCTCCTTTCTCTCGTGTGCCCTTGCTCCTTTCTCTCATGTGCCCTTGCTCCTTTCTCTCGTGTGCCCTTGCTCCTTTCTCTCGTGTGCCCTTGCTCCTTTCTCCTTTCTCTTGTGTGCCCTTGCTCCTTTCTCTCGTGTGCCCTTGCTCATTTCTCTCGTGTGCCCTTGCTCCTTTCTCTCGTGTGCCCTTGCTCCTTTCTCTCGTGTGCCCTTGCTCCTTTCTCTCGTGTGCCCTTGCTCCTTTCTCTCGTGTGCCCTTGCTCATTTCTCTCGTGTGCCCTTGCTCCTTTCTCTCGTGTGCCCTTGCTCCTTTCTCTCGTGTGCCCTTGCTCCTTTCTCTCGTGTGCCCTTGCTCATTTCTCTCGTGTGCCCTTGCTCCTTTCTCTCGGGTGCCCTTGCTCCTTTCTCTCGTGTGCCCTTGCTCCTTTCTCTCGTGTGCCCTTGCTCCTTTCTCTCGTGTGCCCTTGCTCCTTTCTCTCGTGTGCCCTTGCTCCTTTCTCCTTTCTCTTGTGTGCCCTTGCTCCTTTCTCTCGTGTGCCCTTGCTCCTTTCTCTCGTGTGCCCTTGCTCATTTCTCTCGTGTGCCCTTGCTCCTTTCTCTCGTGTGCCCATGCTCCTTTCTCTCGTGTGCCCTTGCTCCTTTCTCTCGTGTGCCCTTGCTCCTTTCTCTCGTGTGCCCTTGCTCATTTCTCTCGTGTGCCCTTGCTCCTTTCTCTCGGGTGCCCTTGCTCCTTTCTCTCGTGTGCCCTTGCTCCTTTCTCTCGTGTGCCCTTGCTCCTTTCTCTCGTGTGCCCTTGCTCCTTTCTCTCGTGTGCCCTTGCTCCTTGCTCCTTTCTCTCGTGTGCCCTTGCTCCTTTCTCTCGTGTGCCCTTGCTCCTTTCTCTCGTGTGCCCTTGCTCCTTTCTCTCGTGTGCCCTTGCTCCTTTCTCTCGTGTGCCCTTGCTCCTTTCTCTCGTGTGCCCTTGCTCATTTCTCTCGTGTGCCCTTGCTCCTTTCTCTCGTGTGCCCTTGCTCCTTTCTCTCGTGTGCCCTTGCTCCTTTCTTTCGTGTTCCCTTGCTCCTTTCTCTCGTGTGCCCTTGCTCCTTTCTCTCGTGTGCCCTTGCTCCTTTCTCTCGTGTGCCCTTGCTCCTTTCTCTCGTGTGCCCTTGCTCATTTCTCTCGTGTGCCCTTGCTCCTTTCTCTCGTGTGCCCTTGCTCCTTTCTCTCGTGTGCCCTTGCTCCTTTCTCTCGTGTGCCCTTGCTCCTTTCTCTCGTGTGCCCTTGCTCCTTTCTCTCGTGTGCCCTTGCTCTTTCTCTCGTGTGCCCTTGCTCCTTTCTCTCGTGTGCCCTTGCTCCTTTCTCTCGTGTGCCCTTGCTCCTTTCTCTCGTGTGCCCTTGCTCCTTTCTCTCGTGTGCCCTTGCTCCTTTCTCTCGTGTGCCCTTGCTCCTTTCTCTCGTGCGCCCTTGCTCATTTCTCTCGTGTGCCGTTGCTCCTCCTCTCTCTCGTGTGCCCTTGCTCCTTTCTCTCGTGTGCCCTTGCTCCTTTCTCTCATGTGCCCTTGCTCCTTTCTCTCGTGTGCCCTTGCTCCTTTCTCTCGTGTGCCCTTGCTCCTTTCTCCTTTCTCTTGTGTGCCCTTGCTCCTTTCTCTCGTGTGCCCTTGCTCATTTCTCTCGTGTGCCCTTGCTCCTTTCTCTCGTGTGCCCTTGCTCCTTTCTCTCGTGTGCCCTTGCTCCTTTCTCTCGTGTGCCCTTGCTCCTTTCTCTCGTGTGCCCTTGCTCATTTCTCTCGTGTGCCCTTGCTCCTTTCTCTCGGGTGCCCTTGCTCCTTTCTCTCTTGTGCCCTTGCTCCTTTCTCTCGTGTGCCCTTGCTCCTTTCTCTCGTGTGCCCTTGCTCCTTTCTCTCGTGTGCCCTTGCTCCTTTCTCCTTTCTCTTGTGTGCCCTTGCTCCTTTCTCTCGTGTGCCCTTGCTCCTTTCTCTCGTGTGCCCTTGCTCATTTCTCTCGTGTGCCCTTGCTCCTTTCTCTCGTGTGCCCTTGCTCCTTTCTCTCGTGTGCCCTTGCTCCTTTCTCTCGTGTGCCCTTGCTCCTTTCTCTCGTGTGCCCTTGCTCCTTTCTCTCGTGTGCCCTTGCTCCTTTCTCTCGTGTGCCCTTGCTCCTTTCTCTCGTGTGCCCTTGCTCCTTTCTCTCGTGCGCCCTTGCTCATTTCTCTCGTGTGCCCTTGCTCCTCCTCTCTCTCGTGTGCCCTTGCTCCTTTCTCTCGTGTGCCCTTGCTCCTTTCTCTCATGTGCCCTTGCTCCTTTCTCTCGTGTGCCCTTGCTCCTTTCTCTCGTGTGCCCTTGCTCCTTTCTCCTTTCTCTTGTGTGCCCTTGCTCCTTTCTCTCGTGTGCCCTTGCTCCTTTCTCTCGTGTGCCCTTGCTCATTTCTCTCGTGTGCCCTTGCTCCTTTCTCTCGTGTGCCCTTGCTCCTTTCTCTCGTGTGCCCTTGCTCCTTTCTCTCGTGCGCCCTTGCTCATTTCTCTCGTGTGCCCTTGCTCCTCCTCTCTCTCGTGTGCCCTTGCTCCTTTCTCTCGTGTGCCCTTGCTCCTTTCTCTCGTGTGCCCTTGCTCCTTTCTCTCGTGTGCCCTTGCTCCTTTCTCTCCTGTGCCCTTGCTCCTTTCTCCTTTCTCTTGTGTGCCCTTGCTCCTTTCTCTCGTGTGCCCTTGCTCCTTTCTCTCGTGTGCCCTTGCTCCTTTCTCTCGTGTGCCCTTTCTCATTTCTCTCGTGTGCCCTTGCTCCTTTCTCTCGTGTGCCCTTGCTCCTTTCTCTCGTGTGCCCTTGCTCCTTTCTCTCGTGTGCCCTTGCTCCTTTCTCTCGTGTGCCCTTGCTCCTTTCTCTCGTGTGCCCTTGCTCCTTTCTCTCGTGTGCCCTTGCTCCTTTCTCTCGTGTGCCCTTGCTCCTTTCTCTCGTGTGCCCTTGCTCCTTTCTCTCGTGTGCCCTTGCTCATTTCTCTCGTGTGCCCTTGCTCCTTTCTCTCGGGTGCCCTTGCTCCTTTCTCTCGTGTGCCCTTGCTCCTTTCTCTCGTGTGCCCTTGCTCCTTTCTCTCGTGTGCCCTTGCTCCTTTCTCTCGTGTGCCCTTGCTCCTTTCTCCTTTCTCTTGTGTGCCCTTGCTCCTTTCTCTCGTGTGCCCTTGCTCCTTTCTCTCGTGTGCCCTTGCTCATTTCTCTCGTGTGCCCTTGCTCCTTTCTCTCGTGTGCCCTTGCTCCTTTCTCTCGTGTGCCCTTGCTCCTTTCTCTCGTGTGCCCTTGCTCCTTTCTCTCGTGTGCCCTTGCTCATTTCTCTCGTGTGCCCTTGCTCCTTTCTCTCGGGTGCCCTTGCTCCTTTCTCTCGTGTGCCCTTGCTCCTTTCTCTCGTGTGCCCTTGCTCCTTTCTCTCGTGTGCCCTTGCTCCTTTCTCTCGTGTGCCCTTGCTCCTTGCTCCTTTCTCTCGTGTGCCCTTGCTCCTTTCTCTCGTGTGCCCTTGCTCCTTTCTCTCGTGTGCCCTTGCTCCTTTCTCTCGTGTGCCCTTGCTCCTTTCTCTCGTGTGCCCTTGCTCCTTTCTCTCGTGTGCCCTTGCTCATTTCTCTCGTGTGCCCTTGCTCCTTTCTCTCGTGTGCCCTTGCTCCTTTCTCTCGTGTGCCCTTGCTCCTTTCTTTCGTGTTCCCTTGCTCCTTTCTCTCGTGTGCCCTTGCTCCTTTCTCTCGTGTGCCCTTGCTCCTTTCTCTCGTGTGCCCTTGCTCCTTTCTCTCGTGTGCCCTTGCTCATTTCTCTCGTGTGCCCTTGCTCCTTTCTCTCGTGTGCCCTTGCTCCTTTCTCTCGTGTGCCCTTGCTCCTTTCTCTCGTGTGCCCTTGCTCCTTTCTCTCGTGTGCCCTTGCTCCTTTCTCTCGTGTGCCCTTGCTCTTTTCTCTCGTGTGCCCTTGCTCCTTTCTCTCGTGTGCCCTTGCTCCTTTCTCTCGTGTGCCCTTGCTCCTTTCTCTCGTGTGCCCTTGCTCCTTTCTCTCGTGTGCCCTTGCTCCTTTCTCTCGTGTGCCCTTGCTCCTTTCTCTCGTGCGCCCTTGCTCATTTCTCTCGTGTGCCGTTGCTCCTCCTCTCTCTCGTGTGCCCTTGCTCCTTTCTCTCGTGTGCCCTTGCTCCTTTCTCTCATGTGCCCTTGCTCCTTTCTCTCGTGTGCCCTTGCTCCTTTCTCTCGTGTGCCCTTGCTCCTTTCTCCTTTCTCTTGTGTGCCCTTGCTCCTTTCTCTCGTGTGCCCTTGCTCATTTCTCTCGTGTGCCCTTGCTCCTTTCTCTCGTGTGCCCTTGCTCCTTTCTCTCGTGTGCCCTTGCTCATTTCTCTCGTGTGCCCTTGCTCCTTTCTCTCGTGTGCCCTTGCTCCTTTCTCTCGTGTGCCCTTGCTCCTTTCTTTCGTGTTCCCTTGCTCCTTTCTCTCGTGTGCCCTTGCTCCTTTCTCTCGTGTGCCCTTGCTCCTTTCTCTCGTGTGCCCTTGCTCCTTTCTCTCGTGTGCCCTTGCTCATTTCTCTCGTGTGCCCTTGCTCCTTTCTCTCGTGTGCCCTTGCTCCTTTCTCTCGTGTGCCCTTGCTCCTTTCTCTCGTGTGCCCTTGCTCCTTTCTCTCGTGTGCCCTTGCTCCTTTCTCTCGTGTGCCCTTGCTCTTTTCTCTCGTGTGCCCTTGCTCCTTTCTCTCGTGTGCCCTTGCTCCTTTCTCTCGTGTGCCCTTGCTCCTTTCTCTCGTGTGCCCTTGCTCCTTTCTCTCGTGTGCCCTTGCTCCTTTCTCTCGTGTGCCCTTGCTCCTTTCTCTCGTGCGCCCTTGCTCATTTCTCTCGTGTGCCGTTGCTCCTCCTCTCTCTCGTGTGCCCTTGCTCCTTTCTCTCGTGTGCCCTTGCTCCTTTCTCTCATGTGCCCTTGCTCCTTTCTCTCGTGTGCCCTTGCTCCTTTCTCTCGTGTGCCCTTGCTCCTTTCTCCTTTCTCTTGTGTGCCCTTGCTCCTTTCTCTCGTGTGCCCTTGCTCATTTCTCTCGTGTGCCCTTGCTCCTTTCTCTCGTGTGCCCTTGCTCCTTTCTCTCGTGTGCCCTTGCTCCTTTCTCTCGTGTGCCCTTGCTCCTTTCTCTCGTGTGCCCTTGCTCATTTCTCTCGTGTGCCCTTGCTCCTTTCTCTCGTGTGCCCTTGCTCCTTTCTCTCGTGTGCCCTTGCTCCTTTCTCTCGTGTGCCCTTGCTCATTTCTCTCGTGTGCCCTTGCTCCTTTCTCTCGGGTGCCCTTGCTCCTTTCTCTCGTGTGCCCTTGCTCCTTTCTCTCGTGTGCCCTTGCTCCTTTCTCTCGTGTGCCCTTGCTCCTTTCTCTCGTGTGCCCTTGCTCCTTTCTCCTTTCTCTTGTGTGCCCTTGCTCCTTTCTCTCGTGTGCCCTTGCTCCTTTCTCTCGTGTGCCCTTGCTCATTTCTCTCGTGTGCCCTTGCTCCTTTCTCTCGTGTGCCCTTGCTCCTTTATCTCGTGTGCCCTTGCTCCTTTCTCTCGTGTGCCCTTGCTCCTTTCTCTCGTGTGCCCTTGCTCATTTCTCTCGTGTGCCCTTGCTCCTTTCTCTCGGGTGCCCTTGCTCCTTTCTCTCGTGTGCCCTTGCTCCTTTCTCTCGTGTGCCCTTGCTCCTTTCTCTCGTGTGCCCTTGCTCCTTTCTCTCGTGTGCCCTTGCTCCTTGCTCCTTTCTCTCGTGTGCCCTTGCTCCTTTCTCTCGTGTGCCCTTGCTCCTTTCTCTCGTGTGCCCTTGCTCCTTTCTCTCGTGTGCCCTTGCTCCTTTCTCTCGTGTGCCCTTGCTCCTTTCTCTCGTGTGCCCTTGCTCATTTCTCTCGTGTGCCCTTGCTCCTTTCTCTCGTGTGCCCTTGCTCCTTTCTCTCGTGTGCCCTTGCTCCTTTCTTTCGTGTTCCCTTGCTCCTTTCTCTCGTGTGCCCTTGCTCCTTTCTCTCGTGTGCCCTTGCTCCTTTCTCTCGTGTGCCCTTGCTCCTTTCTCTCGTGTGCCCTTGCTCATTTCTCTCGTGTGCCCTTGCTCCTTTCTCTCGTGTGCCCTTGCTCCTTTCTCTCATGTGCCCTTGCTCCTTTCTCTCGTGTGCCCTTGCTCCTTTCCCTCGTGTGCCCTTGCTCCTTTCTCTCGTGTGCCCTTGCTCTTTTCTCTCGTGTGCCCTTGCTCCTTTCTCTCGTGTGCCCTTGCTCCTTTCTCTCGTGTGCCCTTGCTCCTTTCTCTCGTGTGCCCTTGCTCCTTTCTCTCGTGTGCCCTTGCTCCTTTCTCTCGTGTGCCCTTGCTCCTTTCTCTCGTGCGCCCTTGCTCATTTCTCTCGTGTGCCGTTGCTCCTCCTCTCTCTCGTGTGCCCTTGCTCCTTTCTCTCGTGTGCCCTTGCTCCTTTCTCTCATGTGCCCTTGCTCCTTTCTCTCGTGTGCCCTTGCTCCTTTCTCTCGTGTGCCCTTGCTCCTTTCTCCTTTCTCTTGTGTGCCCTTGCTCCTTTCTCTCGTGTGCCCTTGCTCATTTCTCTCGTGTGCCCTTGCTCCTTTCTCTCGTGTGCCCTTGCTCCTTTCTCTCGTGTGCCCTTGCTCCTTTCTCTCGTGTGCCCTTGCTCCTTTCTCTCGTGTGCCCTTGCTCATTTCTCTCGTGTGCCCTTGCTCCTTTCTCTCGGGTGCCCTTGCTCCTTTCTCTCGTGTGCCCTTGCTCCTTTCTCTCGTGTGCCCTTGCTCCTTTCTCTCGTGTGCCCTTGCTCCTTTCTCTCGTGTGCCCTTGCTCCTTTCTCCTTTCTCTTGTGTGCCCTTGCTCCTTTCTCTCGTGTGCCCTTGCTCCTTTCTCTCGTGTGCCCTTGCTCATTTCTCTCGTGTGCCCTTGCTCCTTTCTCTCGTGTGCCCTTGCTCCTTTCTCTCGTGTGCCCTTGCTCCTTTCTCTCGTGTGCCCTTGCTCCTTTCTCTCGTGTGCCCTTGCTCCTTTCTCTCGTGTGCCCTTGCTCCTTTCTCTCGTGTGCCCTTGCTCCTTTCTCTCGTGTGCCCTTGCTCCTTTCTCTCGTGCGCCCTTGCTCATTTCTCTCGTGTGCCCTTGCTCCTCCTCTCTCTCGTGTGCCCTTGCTCCTTTCTCTCGTGTGCCCTTGCTCCTTTCTCTCATGTGCCCTTGCTCCTTTCTCTCGTGTGCCCTTGCTCCTTTCTCTCGTGTGCCCTTGCTCCTTTCTCCTTTCTCTTGTGTGCCCTTGCTCCTTTCTCTCGTGTGCCCTTGCTCCTTTCTCTCGTGTGCCCTTGCTCCTTTCTCTCGTGTGCCCTTGCTCATTTCTCTCGTGTGCCCTTGCTCCTTTCTCTCGTGTGCCCTTGCTCCTTTCTCTCGTGTGCCCTTGCTCCTTTCTCTCGTGCGCCCTTGCTCATTTCTCTCGTGTGCCCTTGCTCCTCCTCTCTCTCGTGTGCCCTTGCTCCTTTCTCTCGTGTGCCCTTGCTCCTTTCTCTCGTGTGCCCTTGCTCCTTTCTCTCGTGTGCCCTTGCTCCTTTCTCTCCTGTGCCCTTGCTCCTTTCTCCTTTCTCTTGTGTGCCCTTGCTCCTTTCTCTCGTGTGCCCTTGCTCCTTTCTCTCGTGTGCCCTTGCTCCTTTCTCTCGTGTGCCCTTTCTCATTTCTCTCGTGTGCCCTTGCTCCTTTCTCTCGTGTGCCCTTGCTCCTTTCTCTCGTGTGCCCTTGCTCCTTTCTCTCGTGTGCCCTTGCTCCTTTCTCTCGTGTGCCCTTGCTCCTTTCTCTCGTGTGCCCTTGCTCCTTTCTCTCGTGTGCCCTTGCTCCTTTCTCTCGTGTGCCCTTGCTCCTTTCTCTCGTGTGCCCTTGCTCCTTTCTCTCGTGTGCCCTTGCTCCTTTCTCTCGTGTGCCCTTGCTCCTTTCTCTCGTGTGCCCTTGCTCCTTTCTCTCGTGTGCCCTTGCTCCTTTCTCTCGTGTGCCCTTGCTCCTTTCTCTCGTGTGCCCTTGCTCCTTTCTCTCGTGTGCCCTTGCTCCTTTCTCTCGTGTGCCCTTGCTCATTTCTCTCGTGTGCCCTTGCTCCTTTCTCTCGTGTGCCCTTGCTCCTTTCTCTCGTGTGCCCTTGCTCCTTTCTCTCGTGTGCCCTTGCTCCTTTCTCTCGTGTGCCCTTGCTCCTTTCTCTCGTGTGCCCTTGCTCTTTTCTCTCGTGTGCCCTTGCTCCTTTCTCTCGTGTGCCCTTGCTCCTCCTCTCTCTCGTGTGCCCTTGCTCCTCCTCTCTCTCGTGTGCCCTTGCTCCTCCTCTCTCTGCTGGCTGGGAACCCTCATCCATCCTCTGCTACTATCATGTTTCACTCTGCTTTGCCTGCCCCTAAACCGTGAAACCTTGAACCCTAAACCGTGAAACCTTGAACCCTAAACCGTGATATTTTCTGTCAGGCCTGCCACCGCTACGGTCGTCCATCCCGTGCTGCTCTGAACCACCTCCCCACCAACTCACACCTCCCCACCAACTCACACCTCCCCACCAACTCACACCTCCCCACCAACTCACACCTCCCCACCAACTCACACCTCACCACCAACTCACACCTCACCACCAACTCACACCTCACCACCAACTCACACCTCACCACCAACTCACACCTCACCACCAACTCACACCTCCCCACCAACTCACACCTCCCCACCAACTCACACGTCCCTGCCTCCACACTTTGTGTTGCCTTGCCTGTCCCTAAACCCCGAGCAGGCCTGCCAGCGCTACGGGGAGCCGTCGTCCATCGTGTGCTGCTATCGCTGTGACAGGGGCTACCATGTGGCATGCACTCAGCTGCACACCAAGGTGAGCACATGTCCTGTGCTTGAATGAGTGCGAGTGCGTGAGTGAGTGAGCGAGCGAGGGTGTGAGTATGTGATTGAGGAAGTGCGTTGCTGTGTGTGATTGAGGAAGTGCGTTCCTGTGTGTGATTGAGGAAGTGCGTTGCTGTGTGCGATTGAGGAAGTGCGTTGCTGTGTGCGATTGAGGAAGTGTGTTGCTGTGTTCGGTGAGCTGCTGTGCTTCATGCAGCCCAAACACTATGCTGCTGTCCCTCACAATATTCTCTGCACCTCTCTGCACCCCTCTGCACCATCTACCCGCTTCTTCGTTCCTCTGCTCCCTTCTGCACCCCTCTACGTTCCTCTTCACTCACACATCTGCACCTCTCTCCATCCCTCTGCACTGCACCTTCTGCATCCCTCTGCACCCCACCAGTCGCCCTTCAAGGGTCCCTTCCTGTGTCCCAGCCACACGCAGTGCCACAGCTGCGGCTCCAAAGTGCCGGGCAGTGGCACGTCCTCGCGGTGAGACGAGGGAATAACCGGGAGTGGGGATAACAGGGAGTGGGGATAAAAAGGAGTGGGGATAACAGGGAGTGGGGATAACAGGGAGTGGGGATAACAGGGAGTGGGGATAACAGGGAGTGGGGATAACAGGGAGTGGGGATAACAGGGAGTTGGGATAACAGGGAGTGGGGATAACAGGGAGTGGGGATAACAGGGAGTGGGGATAACAGGGAGTGGGGATAACAGGGAGTGGGGATAACAGGGAGTGGGGATAACAGGGAGTGGGGATAACAGGGAGTGGGGATAACAGGGAGTGGGGATAACAGGGAGTGGGGATAGCAGGGAGTGGGGATAACAGGGAGTGGGGAGAAGGCTGGAGGGAACAGGGGATGGGGATAACAGGGAGTGGTAAGATGTGTGGGGGGGTGGGAGTGTGAGAGAGAGACGGGAAAATACCTGGGTGCAGGGGAGGATGGTGGGAGGAAAAGATGTGCGATCGTCTGCCCTCTGTTCCCACGCCCTGTCGCCTTCTCTATCCCTCCCCCACTTCCCCTCCCTCTTCTCCCCTTTCCCTCCTTTCTCCCAGTCTCACCGCGCTCCCCCTCTGGTTCCTCCATCCCCTATCTCACCATCCATCCATCACATGCTTTGTGCTGCCTTTCAACCACATGCTTTGTGCTGCCTTTCAACCACATGCTTTGTGCTGCCTTTCAACCACATGCTTTGTGCTGCCTTTCAACCACATGCTTTGTGCTGCCTTTCAACCACATGCTTTGTGCTGCCTTTCAACCACATGCTTTGTGCTGCCTTTCAACCACATGCTTTGTGCTGCCTTTCAACCACATGCTTTGTGCTGCCTTTCAACCACATGCTTTGTGCTGCCTTTCAACCACATGCTTTGTGCTGCCTTTCAACCACATGCTTTGTGCTGCCTTTCCTCCCCCCTTCCATGCTTTGTGCTGCCTTTCCTCCCCCCTTCCTCCTCTCGCTCCCCTCCTCTTTCCCCCTTCGGCTTACCTCTCCCCCCCACCCCTCCAGCTGCTGCCTCAACTACATGTTCTGTCACACTTCTCACTCTCCCATCCTCCTCTCCCCTCCTCCTCCCCCCATTCTCCCACCCCCCTCCCCTTCCCCATCCCCCCAGGGGGTTTTTCGCTACATGCTCTTTGACACCTTGCCCTTTTCCCCTATCCCGTTTTGTTCCCTCCTGACCGCCTGTCCGCTCGTTCTTCCCACGGCCCGCAGGTGGTTCTTCAACTACATGCTGTGTGACGCCTGTGGCCGCCTCTTCGTCAAGAAGAAGCACTGCCCCGTCTGCCTCAGGGTAGGTGCCCCGTCTGCCTCAGGGTAGGTGCCCCGTCTGCCTCAGGGTAGGTGCCCCGTCTGCCTCAGGGTAGGTGCCCCGTCTGCCTCAGGGTAGGTGCCCCGTCTGCCTCAGGGTAGGTGCCCCGTCTGCCTCAGGGTAGGTGCCCCGTCTGCCTCAGGGTAGGTGCCCCGTCTGCCTCAGGGTAGGTGCCCCGTCTGCCTCAGGGTAGGTGCCCCGTCTGCCTCAGGGTAGGTGCCCCGTCTGCCTCAGGGTAGGTGCCCCGTCTGCCTCAGGGTAGGTGCCCCGTCTGCCTCAGGGTAGGTGCCCCGTCTGCCTCAGGGTAGGTGCCCCGTCTGCCTCAGGGTAGGTGCCCCGTCTGCCTCAGGGTAGGTGCCCCGTCTGCCTCAGGGTAGGTGCCCCGTCTGCCTCAGGGTAGGTGCCCCGTCTGCCTCAGGGTAGGTGCCCCGTCTGCCTCAGGGTAGGTGCCCCGTCTGCCTCAGGGTAGGTGCCCCGTCTGCCTCAGGGTAGGTGCCCCGTCTGCCTCAGGGTAGGTCCACGTGGGGGAGGAAAGCACTGCTGGGGAGGGTGCAGCCCGGGTGGGGCAGCTGGGGTGGGGCAGCTGGGGTGGGGCAGCTGGGGTGGGGCAGCTGGGGTGGGGCAGCTGGGGTGGGGCAGCTGGGGTGGGGCAGCTGGGGGGTAGGTGCGGCAGGGGGAGATAAAGTGCAGGTGAGGTATGCTCTTGGTGGCGAATCATCATTGCCAAGTCCCGTGCTTCAGGGTAGGTGGAGTGGGGCAGCTGGGGTGGGTGCAGCTGGGGCGTGACTGACTGTGACTGACAGTGACTGGCTGAAACAAATGCCTCCGTTTGCATTTGATCATCATCAGGTGTTTCCAGGCTCTCATTCCTACTCTCGCTGACTGTCTGCATGTGTGTATGCATGTGTGTATGCATGTGTGTATGCATGTGTGCCTGTGCGTGTGTGTGCATGTGTGTATGCATGTGTGTATGCATGTGTGTATGCATGTGTCTCTGCATGTGTGTATGCATGTGTGTCTGCATGTGTGTCTGCATGTGAGTCTGCATGTGTGTATGCATGTGTGTATGCATGTGTGTATGCATGTGTGTATGCATGTGTGCCTGCATGTGTGTATGCATGTGTGTATGCATGTGAGTATGCATGTGTGTATGCATGTGTGTATGCATGTGTGTATGCATGTGTGAGTGCATGTGTGTATGCATGTGTGTATGCATGTGTGCCTGCATGTGTGTATGCATGTGTGTCTGCATGTGATTCTGCATGTGTGTATGCATGTGTGTATGCATGTGTGTATGCCTGTGTGTATGCATGTGTGTATGCATGTGTGTATGCATGTGTGTATGCATGTGTGTGTGCATGTGTCTCTGCATGTGTGTATGCATGTGTGTCTGCATGTGTGTCTGCATGTGATTCTGCATGTGATTCTGCATGTGTGTATGCATGTGTGTATGCATGTGTGTATGCATGTGTGTATGCATGTGTGTATGCATGTGTGTATGCATGTGTGTATGCATGTGTGTTTGCATGTGAGTCTGCATGTGAGTCTGCATGTGAGTCTAATGTGTTGACACTATACATGCATCCCCATCCCACCGCCCTCATCGCAGGTGTATCGGGACTCAGAGCCAACGCCAATGGTGTGTTGTGACAAATGCGAGCACTGGGTGCATTGCGCATGTGACAACATCAGGTGGGTAAGAGGTGCCGTTTCTGTACCTGGACACACTTTGTGCATGTGACAGTACTATATTGCAATCACACCTCCCTCCCTCTTCTACTTTCCAGCAACCCCCCTCTCTCTCCCTCCCTTTTCTTTCCTTCCCCCCTTCGCTGTCACAGACACTCTCTCTCACTCCTTGCACTTCTTGACCTTGACCAACCCAATCTATTCCTCACTGTTGACAATTGTTTCACTTCTCCGTGCTTGTTTCACTTCTCCGTGCTTGATTCACTTCTCCGTGCTTGATTCACTTCTCCGTGCTTGATTCACTTCTCCGTGCTTAATTTACTTCTCCGTGCTTGTTTCACTTCTCCGTGCTTGATTCACTTCTCCGTGCTTGATTCACTTCTCCGTGCTTGATTCACTTCTCCGTGCTTGATTCACTTCTCCGTGCTTGATTCACTTCTCCGTGCTTGTTTCACTTCTCCGTGCTTGTTTCACTTCTCCGTGCTTGATTCACTTCTCCGTGCTTGATTCACTTCTCCGTGCTTGTTTCACTTCTCCGTGCTTGTTTCACTTCTCCGTGCTTGTTTCACTTCTCCGTGCTTGTTTCACTTCTCCGTGCTTGTTTCACTTCTCCGTGCTTGTTTCACTTCTCCGTGCTTGTTTCACTTCTCCGTGCTTGTTTCACTTCACCGTGCTTGTTTCACTTCTCCGTGCTTGTTTCACTTCTCCGTGCTTGTTTCACTTCTCCGTGCTTGTTTCACTTCTCCGTGCTTTATTCACTTCTCCGTGCTTGATTCACTTCTCCGTGCTTGTTTCACTTCTCCGTGCTTGTTTCACTTCTCCGTGCTTGATTCACTTCTCCGTGCTTGTTTCACTTCTCCGTGCTTTTTTCACTTCTCCGTGCTTGATTCACTTCTCCGTGCTTGATTCACTTCTCCGTGCTTGTTTCACTTCTCCGTGCTTGTTTCACTTCTCCGTGCTTGTTTCACTTCTCCGTGCTTGTTTCACTTCTCCGTGCTTGTTTCACTTCTCCGTGCTTGATTCACTTCTCCGTGCTTGATTCACTTCTCCGTGCTTGATTCACTTCTCCGTGCTTGTTTCACTTCTCCGTGCTTGTTTCACTTCTCCGTGCTTGTTTCACTTCTCCGTGCTTGTTTCACTTCTCCGTGCTTGTTTCACTTCTCCGTGCTTGATTCACTTCTCCGTGCTTGTTTCACTTCTCCGTGCTTGTTTCACTTCTCCGTGCTTTTTTCACTTCTCCGTGCTTGTTTCACTTCTCCGTGCTTGTTTCACTTCTCCGTGCTTGTTTCACTTCTCCGTGCTTTATTCACTTCTCCGTGCTTGTTTCACTTCTCCGTGCTTGTTTCACTTCTCCGTGCTTGTTTCACTTCTCCGTGCTTGTTTCACTTCACCGTGCTTGTTTCACTTCTCCGTGCTTGTTTCACTTCTCCGTGCTTGTTTCACTTCTCCGTGCTTGTTTCACTTCTCCGTGCTTGTTTCACTTCTCCGTGCTTGTTTCACTTCTCCGTGCTTGTTTCACTTCTCCGTGCTTGTTTCACTTCTCCGTGCTTGTTTCACTTCACCGTGCTTGTTTCACTTCTCCGTGCTTGTTTCACTTCTCCGTGCTTGTTTCACTTCTCCGTGCTTGTTTCACTTCTCCGTGCTTGTTTCACTTCTCCGTGCTTGTTTCACTTCTCCGTGCTTGTTTCACTTCTCCGTGCTTGTTTCACTTCTCCGTGCTTGTTTCACTTCTCCGTGCTTGTTTCACTTCTCCGTGCTTGTTTCACTTCTCCGTGCTTGTTTCACTTCTCCGTGCTTGTTTCACTTCTCCGTGCTTGTTTCACTTCTCCGTGCTTGATTCACTTCTTCGTGCTTGATTCACTTCTCCGTGCTTGATTCACTTCTCCGTGCTTTATTCACTTCTCCGTGCTTGTTTCACTTCTCCGTGCTTGTTTCACTTCTCCGTGGTTGTTTCACTTCTCCGTGCTTGTTTCACTTCTCCGTGCTTGTATCACTTCTCCGTGCTTGTTTCACTTCTCCGTGCTTGATTCACTTCTCCGTGCTTGTTTCACTTCTCTGTGCTTGTTTCACTTCTCCGTGCTTTTTTCACTTCTCCGTGCTTGTTTCACTTCTCCGTGCTTGTTTCACTTCTCCGTGCTTGTTTCACTTCTCCGTGCTTGTTTCACTTCTCCGTGCTTGTTTCACTTCTCCGTGCTTGTTTCACTTCTCCGTGCTTGTTTCACTTCTCCGTGCTTGTTTCACTTCACCGTGCTTGTTTCACTTCTCCGTGCTTGTTTCACTTCTCCGTGCTTGTATCACTTCTCCGTGCTTGTTTCACTTCTCCGTGCTTGTTTCACTTCTCCGTGCTTGATTCACTTCTCCGTGCTTGATTCACTTCTCCGTGCTTTATTCACTTCTCCGTGCTTGATTCACTTCTCCGTGCTTGTTTCACTTCTCCGTGCTTGTTTCACTTCTCCGTGCTTGATTCACTTCTCCGTGCTTGATTCACTTCTCCGTGCTTGTTTCACTTCTCCGTGCTTGTTTCACTTCTCCGTGCTTGATTCACTTCTCCGTGCTTGTTTCACTTCTCCGTGCTTGTTTCACTTCTCCGTGCTTGATTCACTTCTCCGTGCTTGATTCACTTCTCCGTGCTTGTTTCACTTCTCCGTGCTTGTTTCACTTCTCCGTGCTTGTTTCACTTCTCCGTGCTTGTTTCACTTCTCCGTTCTTGTTTCACTTCTCCGTGCTTGATTCACTTCTCCGTGCTTGATTCACTTCTCCGTGCTTGTTTCACTTCTCCGTGCTTTTTTCACTTCTCCGTGCTTGTTTCACTTCTCTGTGCTTGTTTCACTTCTCCGTGCTTGTTTCACTTCTCCGTGCTTGTTTCACTTCTCCGTGCTTGTTTCACTTCTCCGTGCTTGTTTCACTTCTCCGTGCTTGTTTCACTTCTCCGTGCTTGTTTCACTTCTCCGTGCTTGTTTCACTTCTCCGTGCTTGTTTCACTTCTCCATGCTTGTTTCACTTCTCCGTGCTTGTTTCACTTCACTGTGCTTGTTTCACTTCACCGTGCTTGTTTCACTTCTCCGTGCTTGTTTCACTTCACTGTGCTTGTTTCACTTCACCGTGCTTGTTTCACTTCTCCGTGCTTGTTTCACTTCTCCGTGCTTGTTTCACTTCTCCGTGCTTGTTTCACTTCTTCGTGCTTGATTCATTTCTCCGTGCTTGATTCACTTCTCCGTGCTTGTTTCACTTCTCCGTGCTTGTTTCACTTCTCCGTGCTTGATTCACTTCTCCGTGCTTGTTTCACTTCTCCGTGCTTGTTTCACTTCTCCGTGCTTGATTCACTTCTCCGTGCTTGATTCACTTCTCCGTGCTTGTTTCACTTCTCCGTGCTTGTTTCACTTCTCCGTGCTTGTTTCACTTCTCCGTGCTTGTTTCACTTCTCCGTGCTTGTTTCACTTCTCCGTGCTTGATTCACTTCTCCGTGCTTGTTTCACTTCTCTGTGCTTGTTTCACTTCTCCGTGCTTTTTTCACTTCTCCGTGCTTGTTTCACTTCTCCGTGCTTGATTCACTTCTCCGTGCTTGTTTCACTTCACTGTGCTTGTTTCACTTCACCGTGCTTGTTTCACTTCTCCGTGCTTGTTTCACTTCTCCGTGCTTGTTTCACTTCTCCGTGCTTGTTTCACTTCTTCGTGCTTGATTCACTTCTCCGTGCTTGATTCACTTCTCCGTGCTTGTTTCACTTCTCCGTGCTTGTTTCACTTCTCCGTGCTTGATTCACTTCTCCGTGCTTGTTTCACTTCTCCGTGCTTGTTTCACTTCTCCGTGCTTGATTCACTTCTCCGTGCTTGATTCACTTCTCCGTGCTTGTTTCACTTCTCCGTGCTTGTTTCACTTCTCCGTGCTTGTTTCACTTCTCCGTGCTTGTTTCACTTCTCCGTGCTTGTTTCACTTCTCCGTGCTTGATTCACTTCTCCGTGCTTGTTTCACTTCTCTGTGCTTGTTTCACTTCTCCGTGCTTTTTTCACTTCTCCGTGCTTGTTTCACTTCTCCGTGCTTGTTTCACTTCTCCGTGCTTGTTTCACTTCTCCGTGCTTGTTTCACTTCTCCGTGCTTGTTTC